AGATCTTCTTGTTGGATAGATCCTTTAAGTATGATATAGTGTCCTTCCTCATCTCTTATTACAGTCTTTGATTTATAATCTAATTTGTCTGATCTAAGGATTGCCACCCCAGCTTTCTTTTGGTGTCCATTAGCATGGTAAATGGTTTTCCACCCCCTCACTTTCAATCTGGGGGTGTCTTTGGTTCTAAAATGAGTCTCTTGCAGACAGCATATCTATGGGTCTTGTTTTTGAATCCAGTCTGTTAGCCTGTGTCTTTTGATTGGGGCGTTTATCCCATTTACATTCAGGGTAACTATTGAAAGATAGGAATTTAGTGCCATTGTATTGCCTGTAAGGTGACTGTTACCATATATTGTCTGTGTTCCTTTCTGGTCTATGTTGCTTTTAGGGTCTCTCTTTGCTTAGAGGACCCCTTTCAAGATTTCCTGTAGGGATGGTTTTGTGTTTGCAAATTCCTTTAGTTTTTGTTTGTCCTGGAAGCTTTTTATCTCTCCTTCAATTTTCAATGACAGCCTAGCTGGATAGAGTATTCTTGGCTGCCTATTTTTCTCATTTAGTGCTCTGAATATATCCTGCCAGTCCTTTCTGGCCTGCCAGGTCTCTGTGGATAGGTCTGTTGCCAATCTAATGTTTCTACCATTGTAGGTTACATATCTCTTCTCCCGAGCTGCTTTCAGGATTTTCTCTTTGTCTATGAGACTCGTAAGTTTTACTATTAGATGTCGGGGAGTTGACCTATTTTTATTGATTTTGAGAGGGGTTCTCTGTGCTTCCTGGATTTTCATGCCTGTTTCTTTCCCCAAATTAGGGAAGTTCTCTGCTATAATTTGCTCCATTATACCTTCTGCCCCTCTCTCTCTTTCTTCTTCTTCTGGGATCCCAATTATTCTAATGTTGTTTCGTCTTATGGTATCATTTATCTCTCGAATTCTGCCCTCGTGATCCAGTAGTTGTTTATCTCTCTTTTTCTCAGCTTCTTTATTTTCCATCATTTCATCTTCTATATTACTGATTCTCTCTTCTGCATCATTTATTCTAGCAGTTAGTGCCCCCATTTTTGATTGCACCTCATTAATAGCCTTTTTAATTTCTACTTGGTTGGATTTTAGCTCTTTTACTTCTCCAGAAAGCGTTTCTCTAATAACTTCCATATTTTTTCAAGCCCAGCTAGTATCTTTAAAGTGATGATTCTGAACTCTAGATCTGACATCGTACTAATGTCCGTATTGAGTAGGTCCCTGGCAGTCGGTACTACCTCTTGTTCTTTTTGTTGCGGTGATTTTTTCCATCTTGTCATTTTGTGCAGAGGAGAATAGATTAATGAGAGAACAAAATGCTAGCAGAATAACCACGTCCCCAGAAAATATACTCTAAACAAATCAGAAAAGACCTAAAGCAGTGGGATAAGAAAGGGAAAGAGAGAAAAAAGAAAAAGAAAAAAAAAAAAAGATAAAGATAAAAACAAAAACAAACAAAACGAAACAACAACAACAAAAGGAAAATCAGAATATGATCAAATATGATCTATATGGTATATAGATCAGTGCCACACACTAGATTTGGGGTGTATTTTGGTCTTTTAGAAGAAAGTGCCTCCCAAAATTTTAAAGAAAGAAAAACTTATATATGTACAAAAATAAGGGTTGATATGATGAAGGGATGGAATATGATTGTAAAAATGGAAATTATAAAAATGTTATAAAAGGAATTGATAAGAAGTTGTTTGAAAAAAGAAAGAAGAGGATTTAAAAAAAGAAAAAACAAAAAGAAAAAAAAAGGGAGAGGATGTGATCAGGCAAGGGAATAGAAAGCACCATATACTAGAGATTTAGGGTATATTTTAATCTGTTAGAAGAAACTATCTCAAAATTTTAAAGAGAGAACAACTTATATATATAAGCCAAAAATATGGGTAACTACTATGAAGGGATAGAATATGACTCTAAAAATGAAAAATAAAGTTTTTTTTTTGTTGTTTTTTAAAAAGGGATTGATAAGATGTTGGTAGAAAAAGGGAAAAAGAAAAATTCAAAAAGATATAATAAGACAAAAAGACAGTTAAAAAAAATTGACTTTAAAAGACTAAAGAATCATGGTAAAAAAGCCGTGAATTCTATGTGCAGTAGTCCCCTAGCGCCGGAGTTCTGCCGTTCTCATTGATCGGTAAACTTGGTCTTGGCTGGCTGTTCTCACTGATCTTCTGGGGAGGGGCCTGTTGCCGTGGTTTCCAAATGTCTCTGCCGGAGGCGGAATTGCCCCGCCCTTGCCCCCTCCCGGCTAAGTAATCTGCTCGGGTTTGCTCTCCGGGGCTTTTGTTCCCTGCGAGCTTTCCGTACAGCTTTGGGGGCGGAGAGTGAAAATGGCGGCCTCCCAATCTCCGCCCCAGAGGAGCCGAGAACTCGGGGCCCCGCTCCTCAGTGAGCCCCCAGAGAAAAGCCGTCAGTCACTCCCGTCTCCCCGCTCTCCGCCGCACTCCGTGCTCACCGGGCCTGCGACCGCGCGTTTCTCTCTCTGGCACCCGACCGTGTGTGGAGTCTCCAAACCCAGCAGATCCCTGCGGTGCGCTCCTGCGCCGCTCCTCCCAGGGGAGGAAGGGGAGTTACCCCGGATCTGCCGCTTGTTGGGTCCCTGCTGGAGGAGCAGGGGCTCGACTGGGCCGCGGATCGCGGTTTATGGCCACCCCGAGCTGAGAGCCTGCGCCTGGGCCCCACCTCTGCAGCCGGCTTCCCTGCTCCGATCCCTGGGAGCTCTGCTGCACTCAGGCACCCCCGGTCTTTCTGTGACCCCGAGGGTCCTGAGACCACACTCTCCCGGAGGGTTCCACCCCCCGCTTAGCCACCAGAGTGACGTCCCTCAGCGGAGCAGACTTTTAAAATTTCCGATTTTGTGCTCCGTGGTTCTATCACTTGCCAGAAGCAGCCGACGGAGGCCCCTCCCCCGCCGCCTATCCTCCCGAATATCGCCGCGGATTCACTTCTCCGCACGTCCTACCTTCCAGAAAGTGGTCGCTTTTCTGTTCAGAGAGTTGTTGCTCTTCCTTTCTTCGATCTCCTGTTGGGTTTGTAGGTGTTCAGAATGGTTTGATCCCTATCCAGCTGAATTCCTGAGAGGAGACGAAATCCAGGTCTCCTACTCCTCCGCCATCTTGCTCCGTCACCTCGCTGATTCTTGCAATGAGCCAGAAGAGCTGCACAGAACCCCTGAGGTCCCCAGTGATGTCCACAGGGGACCCGGAGGCTGTTAGGAGCCAGTCTCTGAGAGGCTTTCTGAGGCCTCGGGGCTGTATATTGGGAAGAGGTCCCTGGGGCCTTCCTGAGCTCCACTAGGAGACAATCCCAGGAGACTGCCTGAGGTTGTGTCAGGAGGGAGTCCCTGCGGATCCACTGAAACTTTATTGGAAGATCTCTGGAGTTTCCCTGAGGTCATGTAAGGACAGGATCCCGGAAGAGCTCATCAGGCTATGAACAAAGGAGCCCTGAGGATCTAGTGAGGGTTTGTTAGCTGGGGATCACCAAGGATCCATTAAGATCACACCAAAGAGAAGATTCCTGGAGTTTCTATGGTGACAAAAGGGGGTCCCTGGAGAGTTCCCGTGGTTGTCATTCATCCAACACACACTTGCAGAGGCAGAAGACCTAGGCCCCACTGAGCAGGATCTCACAAGCTACCTGTGGACACAGAGATCATAAAAACAGGTAAGTGTTGCAGGGTGGGCGCAAGGACCTGTGGAAAGGGCATAAAATTCGGTGTCCGCGAGGTGAGCGAGCCATTCTGCTCTCCCGGGAGGGGCAGCCTTTGGGGGTGGTGGGCATACGGCTGCCGTACTGCATGTAAAGAACCCGGCGCAGATCTTGCGTGCGGCAAGAACTCCATCAGTGCTACCCATCAGTAAGCGAGGGGCACGGGCACACTTACACATGCAGCCCGATTCTTGTCTCATGAGAGAACTGGCGGAGGTGCGTCCACGGACCGTCCTGCAGTCGGGAAAGGCCAGGACCTGGCTTCTCGGTCCGGGTCCGCGACCAAGAGAAATCCAGCGCCAGTCACGCACGTCACCCCACATCTTCGTTGGCTGCGTCGAGTTAAAAGAAGCAAACACCGAAACACCGAAAAATAACCTCAGCAGCTGTCATTTCACCACGTAACCAACGCAGACTCGCTCTTTTCAAAGATTTCATTCACTCGAGCGAGCTCTCGAGCGAGCGAGGGCACCAGCCGGGAAGGGGCAGGCGGAGGGGGAAGCAGAGTCTCCCCGCCGAGCGGGGGGCCCGACGCGGGGCTCGAGCCCAGGGCCCTGGGGTCACGACCCGAGTCCAAGGCAGACGGCGGGCCGACGGAGCCGCCCGGCGCCCCACCAGTGTAGACGGACTCTCCCTCCGCTCCGCTTCGTGCCGACTCTTCGAAAACCCTGCCGGGGGCTTCCTGCGCCGGGTTCCGCGACCCCCAGGCGCCCCCCCCCCCCGCTCCGCCGACCCCGCTGCCCCTCGCTGCCTCCGCGCGCCCCGGGCCCTCCCGCCGCCTCGCCCGGCGGCAGAGCACAGAGCCGGACGGGGCCCCAGCCAGCCGCCCGCACCGCAGCCACCACACCCCTCCCCGGCGTCGCCCTTGAATGCCGTCACGCCCGCGCCTTGCGTCCGGCGCGCCTGGGCGGAGGCGGGACTTCCGGGCGCGCGGAGGCGGGACTTCCGGGAGCAAGCGGAAGAGCCTCTGGGCTCTGGGGTCATGACCTGAGTCCAAGGCAGATGGCGGGCCGACTGAGCCGCCCGGCGCCCCACCAGTGTAGACGGACTCTCCCTCCGCTCCGCTTCGCGCCGACTCTTCGAAAACCCTGCCGGGGGCTTCCTGCGCCGGGTTCCGCGACCCCCAGGCGCCCCCCCGCCCCCCCCCCCCCCGCTCCGCCGACCCCGCTGCCCCTCGCTGCCTCCGCGCGCCCAGGACCCTCCCGCCGCCTCGCCCGGCAGCAGTGCACAGAGCCGGACGGGGGCCCCAGCCAGCCACCGACACACGGACCGCAGCCGCCCGCACCGCAGGCGCCACACCCCTCCCCGGCGTCGCCCTTCAATGCCGTCACGCCCGCGCCTTGCGTCCGGCGCGCCGGGGCGGAGGCGGGACTTCCGGGCGCGCGGAGGCGGGACTTCCGGGAGCAGGCGGAAGAGCCTCTGGGCGCTGGGCTCGGGCGTCCGGGGGCCGCTGAGGGGCCGCTCGGGGTGCAGGAGAGGGCCGCCGGGCCTGGCCGGCCGCGCTCGAGGTGTCGGGCCGCGGGCCTGAGGGAGGAGGAGGGGCCATGGCCGGCGACGGGGCCCGGAAGCGGTTCTGGAGGCGCAGCAACGGCGAAGTCCCGGGCAGGTGGGTGTGACGGGGAGGCCGGGTCGGGGTCAGGGCTCGGAGGTCGGGCGGGCGCGTGGGCCCGCGGGGCTGCGGGTGGAGTCGGGGGTCTGGGGAGGGCTGCTGGGGACGAGAGCGACGTTGGGGGGCCGGGGGGCTCGAGCGCAGGGTCTGGGCGGTGACGGGGGCTGCGCGCAGACCGAGGCTTGAAGGGAGGAGGAGCAGCTGGTCGCGAGGCTTCCCGAGGCCGCAGGCTCTCCTCGGTGACACTCCTAGGCAGGCTCTCCTCGGTGACATCCCGGGCGCCCTGGGAAGCCGAAGGGGACCGACTCGGGTCGCGCTGCGAAGGGTTCGGGGAGTGCGGACCTGGCCCGCTGGCCGCGCGGGCTGCGCTTGCCGGGCGATCGCCTCTCCGGGGGGCGCGGCGGTGGGACCCCCTTGAATGGCCTTTTGTCCCTCCCGCGCTCGGCTGCGCTTGCCGGGCGATCTCCTCTCCGGGGGCGCGGCGGTGGGACCCTCTTGAATGGCCTTCTTGTCCCTCCCGCGCTCGGCTGCGCTTGCCGGGCGATCTCCTCTCCGGGGGGCGCGGCGGTGGGACCCCCTTGAATGGCCTTCTTGTCCCTCCCGCGCTCGGCTGCGCTTGCCGGGCGATCGCCTCTCCGGGGGGCGCGGCGGTGGGACCCCCTTGAATGGCCTTTTGTCCCTCCCGCGCTCGGCTGCGCTTGCCGGGCGATCGCCTCTCCGGGGGGCGCGGCGGTGGGACTCCCTTGAATGGCCTTCTTGTCCCTCCCGCGCTCGGCTGCGTTTGGCCTCGAGCTCGAGGACTCGCTCCGGTGGATTTGAGCCTCCCTGTGAATTTCCACGTACCCCACCTTCCGGCCGCAAAACCAACTCCTTTCTTGAGTCCGCAGCAGGAAGCGAATTAAGAAAAAGAAATTAAACAAAAAATGAAGTGCGTGCAATGACCCGGGTGCACCCTGGAAGCTGTTCGGCTCCAAAGTCCTGATCAGCGTGCGGCTGATCCCCGGCCCGCGCCCCGGGGAAGGTGAAGACAGTGCGTGGACAGTGCCTGGCGAACTTAGATTAGAGAGAAACGGATGTCAAGATTACTTTTTCTTTTTTAAAGATTTTATTTATGTATTTGAGAGAGAAAGAGAGAGCACATGAGAGGGGGGAGGGCCAGAGGGAGAAGCAGACCCCCCGCCGAGCAGGGAGCCCGATGCAGGACTCGATCCCGGGACTCCAGGATCGTGACCCGAGCCGAAGGCAGTCGCCCAACCAACTGAGCCACCCAGGCGCCCCATGATTTTATTTATTTAAGAGAGAGAGAGCATGAGAAGGGGGAGGGTCAGAGGGAGAAGCAGACTCCCTGCCGAGCAGGGAGCCCGATGCGGGACTCGATCCCGGGACTCCAGGATCATGACCTGAGCCGAAGGCAGTCGCTTAACCGACTGAGCCACCCAGGCGCCCTGCCATCATCTTTTAAATTATGGAGTCTTACCAAAGAAACTGTGTCACTGGTGTATCTCTAGTAGGTGATTTGGCCAGGGTCTCACACTGCATGAGAGGTGGTCTTGCCAGTAGCCCCCCCTCCTCTATTCATGCTGGTCCTTAGGTTGTCTATTTGGCTGGGGCTTTCTTAGAAACTTCTGGATGAAGCAGGATGTGTGATGTGGTGGAAGCACCTCTGACTTGGTTCTGTGGTCTGGGTTTCAGCCTTTTTTTTTCTATTAATCTCTGTGTGACTTTCACCAGGTCATGTCACCCCTGGGGCCATCAGTTTCTGCCAGTGTAACCTGCTGAAGCTGGATGAGACCTAAGTGGCTGAGATCTCCAGGCACATATTTGTTCGGTCTGGTCCGATTCTCTTTGATGAGCACGAGAGAGGGCCTCTTGGAGGAGCTTTGAGAGTTTGAAAATTCATTCATTCAGTAGATATTTGTTTAACCAACTCTTGGTGCCAGTAACAGTTCCAGGGGCTAGAGATACACCAGTGAACAAAACAGCTCAGAACCAATGCTGTCTCAGAGCTTACTGCGGAGCTGGAGGGGCAGAGAAGAGAGACCATGACTAAGTTAAGAAGAGAGTTACCCCTGAGAAGGTGGGAACTGTTATCCTGTTACTGAAACCTAAAGCAGAGAATTGGGATTGGGAGGCGTGTGGAGTGGGGAGGGTTTCCCGGTGATAAGGTGGCCAGAGAAGGTCTCACAGAGGAGGTAACATTTGAGCAGGACTCACAGGAGGGGAGCGAACAGGCCCCCTGGGTGGCTGGGAGGACAGTGGTCTGGGCAGAGGGCCAGTGGAAAGCCCCCGGTTGGGAGCGACAGCGGTGTGCTCGAGAAGAGCGGGGGGCCTGGTGACTGGAGCCAAGGGAGGAGGGGGAGAGTCCTGGGGCACGAGGTCCGGAAGCTGGTGGGGGCAGGCCTCGTGGTCACAGTGGAAAGACGTGGGCTTTCTGTCTCTTATTCTGATGGGGGAGCGCTTTGGAGGGTCTTGGCAGAGGTGTGGCAGGATCCCTTTGGCCTCTGGGTGGATGGCAGGATAGGGGCTGGGAGGGAAGGACGGACGCAGGGAGACCAGTTCGGAGGCTGTGGTGAACGTCCGGGTGAGAGAGGACGGTGGTGTTGCAAGAATCAGAGGGCGGGTGGTGGGGATCAGGACGTGTTCAGTCTGTGACTCTCTGGGGCTGGTTCTCTCTTGGGCCAGCGACCCACTTGGCTCCGAGGGGCGGCTGCCCTCTGCAGTTGTGGGTGGCACTCTTGCCACACTTAGCTGTCAGTGGCAGGACGAAGTCACCGCCCACCGCGGTGCGAGCGCAGACGGCCCTCCGGCGTGGGTCCGCCGGGGCCGCGAGCGCTGTGCACAGGAGGCCGTGCGGGCGGTGGGGCCTGTGGAGGGCGACCTTTGTGAGCGGGATGGAGGCAGGAAGGGCCCAGACTGAATCGGCAAGGCTGTGGGTGCTTGGGGTGGAGCTGGAGGAGAAGACAGCTCACGGTGTTGTGGCTCCGACAGCTTTCAGCTTCCAGCGGCCACAGCCCGAGGAGTCTCCGAGCCGGTGAGACATCAGCTCCACCGTCACTGTAACAGGCCGCCATCACTCATCAGCTGAGGGGAGGACTTGTTGGGGGGACAGTTCATTCGTTCAGAACGCATTCTGTGTGCCAGGTCCCGTGCTGAATGCTGAGCCAAGAGATGTGGCTCTCAGAGGCTGCTGGGGTGAGGGAGACGGTAAGCACATTGGTATGTTCTTCGAAGGTCATCATTGGGGGCGTTGGCAGAAGCACAGGACCCTGCGTCAATGGAAGGCCATGCCCTTCCAGAAGAGGTCATGCCTGACCTGAGACCTGTAGGTGGAGAGGGAGCCAGCCCACAGAGATGCACAGATGCGGAGATGCAGGGTGGGCGTCAGAGCACTCCTGGCAGGGGAAGGGTGCTGCGGGGACCCTGGGGCTGGGGAGGAGGACGGCAGGAGGGGAGCCTTGTGAGAAGAGGGGTGGGAGGCGGGCAGGGCTCGGAAGGCCATAGAAAAGGGCCGCAACGAAGCACTGAAGGGTGGCGATCACCAGGGTTCTGGCCGGAGGGATGGGGCGTGGTTGCAGAATGATGAACCCCAAAGATGTCTGCATCCTTATCCCTGGAACCTGGAACCAGACCACATGGCCAAAGAGTGGAAGGTGCAGATCTGCTGACCCTGAGGTGGTACCTTTTCCTGGGTGGCCTGGTGGGTCCAGTAGAATGGAGTGAGCGCTTAAAAGTGGTCAGAATCAACAGCAGATGGACGCTTGTCTTGTCGCTGGCTCTGAAAGTGGAGGCGGGGGCCATGAGCCGGGGGGTGCGGTGGCCTCCAGCATTTGGAGTGACCTTCTGCTTGCAGCCGGCGGGAACCTCGGTCCTACAACCGCAGGGAACTGGATTCTGCCAACAGCCTGCATGAGCAGGACGTGGACTCTCCCCAGAGCGTCCAGAAATGAGTGCAGTGGCCAACACCTACACTTTAGTCCCGTGAGAACTGCCTTGGACTCTGACCTCCAGACTTTAAGATAATAAGTGCGTTTCAGGCTGTGTGTGGAGGACCGTTAGAGCAGCCACAGAAAAACCCTGAAGTGGGAGGAGGAAGGTTGGAGGAATGTGCGGGAGGGATGTTGGATGGGAAGGGTTGTGGGTCCGGGTGAGAGAGGTCCGCACCTGACCCTGCAGAGTCTTGCCCTTGAATGTGGACAGGGCACCTGCTTCCGTCTTCCCGGGTGGGCTGGCCCCTCACCGCCCACCTCTGCAAAGTGCATTTAGTCCCGAAGGACTGGAACAGCACTGGGAGGGCTCTTCCTCATGTCTCCTTGGGTCCAGGAACCAGGTGGAGGCCCTGCCTCTTTTTCCGGAAGCTCGGATCTGCTGCCCTGACCAGCTTGCTCTTGTGTTTTCAGAAACCTGTTTGTTTCCTTGCTTGTATTTTTGAAGTGGCTGTTTGGACGGAGTGCCTTTTTATTCCTCTCTTCCCGTGTTGCGAGGAGCCCGGGAGTCTCTCGGGTGGGTCTTTGTGTCCTGTGCGAGCGGGTCTCTCTGGGCTCCGTCTGTAAGTGGAGTTGGTCTTACTGTGCCAGCGCCTTGGAAGCACCGGGGGTGGGGGTGGGGGTGGTTTGCTATGCACACAGTTCCTCTTGCTTGTTTGTTTCTTGGTGGTCCTGTTTGATGTTACTAAATGCCTTTTTAGCTGGTCTGGAAACATTTTGAAAGATGAACTTGATGTGAATCATGTTTTTTCTCTTTTACACATTTGTCTAATGTAGCAAGTCTAGACTCTTATGGGTTAATCTTAAGTGAGGACAGAAATGATTAAAATAAATAAATCCCTGATGATTTTGATTAAATTTTTTTTTTTTAAACTGAGAGCAGGGGCAAGTATTCCATTCCCCGAGGGCTGTGAAGACATGGTCGGAGGTCATGGGTGGGAACGAGTCAAAGTGCCCTGGGAGCCTACGTCTGTTTCTCTGTTCCCCAGACTGCCCTGGGCCAGCCCTGCCTGC